GGCTCCCAGGAAGCGGCCCCCTAGGTCTCTGTGGCCCCTAGGCCAGGGGTTTTCGCAACAAAATTTTTTGTGGCCACTCCAACAAATTTTCCTAAAATACTTAATTAGCGTTAGGAAAAACTTACCAATATGCACATATACATGTCCAAATCATTGTCATTTATTTATGTTGGGGTTTTTTTTGCAGACTCAATAATAAAAATAATGTACAGTTGTATTTTGGTGCTCCTTGTCCCCGCTGCCTTCCCTGGGCCTCCACAGATCCCCCTGGCCCCGACTGCCTCCCCCAGCCCCCATCACCCCAAACTCCCTTCCATGGCGTCTCACCCCAGGCTCATCCACCTCCTTGCCTCTTGACCATAGCGCCAGGTAAGGCCTGTACTGCTGAAGCCCCATCACCCTGTGCTGACGCCCAGATCCAGAGCCCTAAGGCTGGAGCAGGGGTGGGAGGCTGAAGCCCAGAAACCGCCGCCAGAGCCCCAATGCTCTTGAGGGGGAGGGGGCTGACGCCTGCCCCCAGAGCCCCTCAGCACTTCAGGGAAGGACTGCTGCTTTGTCCCCTCCCACATCTCTGCCCAGGAGACTGTCGTGGCCACAGGAAAACCCCTTGGTGGCTGCAGCCACGGTGACCACATTTGAGAAACACTGCCCTAGGCGCATGAATGGCCAGGGAGACTCTGTCACGGTTCCAGCCAATGGGAGCTGGCAGGTAGGGAGCCACTTCCGGGAGCCACGTGGAGCCAGGGCAGGTAGGGAGCCTGCCTTAGCCCTAGCCCCCCATTGTGCCGCTGACTGGACTTTTAATGGCCCAGTCAGCAATGCCGACCGGAGCTGCCAGGGTCCCTTTTCGACTGGGTGTTCTGGTGTTTAAAAAAAAAAAAAAGGATGCCTGGCAACCCTAAAAGAGTTAATAGTTTTGAAATACTCCTAGCATATGCCAGGTAAAGGTCCTCTTTCTCTTTAAGTAATTACTTATGTTAGCAGGTGTTACTGTATGAGAACCCAAATGACTTTTCTGACAGAAATCTGGATTATAGGGAAATAGCACAGAAGCCACTGCAAACAACTCTGAAAATCTGGATGAAATGAGTAGGCGACATGATGTATATTAAGGATGTTTTGAAAAAAACTCTTTACAAAATATATTTCAATATAGTTAATAAGCTTAATTAAGGAAAAAAAAAAAAAAAAAAAAAAAAAAAAAGAGGGGAAGGGGGGCAGATCCTCAACTGCTATAAATCAATGTAGCTAAGAATTTTAGATTTATTAGTCCTCATTGGATCAAGTGATGGCTTGTGTGTGTGTGATTATATTTTGTCAAAAGAAACTGAGATTTGTTAATAGGAATGTTATGGTATTTCCAGCTTTCTAAAAAAAAACCTGTTTGTAGCTGCAAAGTAAATGTTTTATTTCTTATGATGATCATGATGGCTGGTGCTGTTAACTTTATTTGGGTGGACCATAAATCTTGATATATGGATTCTTACTACAGGTCCTAATTTTGGCCTAGTTTACTATATCTTATGGGGAGGAAGCAATAAAAGAACCTAAGATCTTCCCAAGACACTGCTGATAACGGCTAGAGTTGCTCACTGTTGTTCAGTGGTTAAGCATGATAATTCTGGGGGACTAAGATCGTGCAGTAGGCCCAAAGAACTTGTTTATAAAACAAAGTATGCTGTGTAACAACAGTTTATGTAGAACTAATTAGAATTTAAATATTTACTCCACTTCTGTTCGTTTAGTCCAGTAAGGTTGGAGACAATGGGCTAGATCCACCACCAGCTGATGTAAATTGGTGTTTTGATTTCAGAGGAACTTCCTAATTTACACTAGCTGAGCATCTGGCCTAATAAGATCTTAGCCGCTTGGGATATGAGCTAAATTAACAATGCTCTTTTGATCATGAAATGTGGCCATATTTTCCGTAAGGCCTAATGACTTGATTTTTATCCTAGGAAGACATCCCGAAGACTCCAGTGTAGCATGATGTCTGGGAAGAATGTCAAGGGAGAGGGAAAAAACCCATCTCCCATGGTGAATAACAAAGCACAGGTGAGTGACAAATAGATATTTGGAGGACCATACACTAAAATTTGCAAGGACTATACAGCCATCGTTTTGATGAAATACAAGACCAGATATTTGGCTGGTGTACTGTGGGCATAGCTCCACTGAAATCTGCTGTATTAACTACGCACATAGTATTGGGCTTTGGTTTCATCGTCAGTCGACGAGGTTTGTGAGAATTATGTATATGCGTACATCCTCCTCTCTGGAGAGCTTCGGAGGTGGGAGCAGAGCTGTGCCTCCAAGCAGAGAAGCTCTGGAATGTTCTGTTTGTGCAGAGCTGATGCAGGCCGAATGCCTCAGGTAGCGCTAGGGAAAGGAGCATGCTGAGTAGCATTCCTAGCATGTGCTAGCGTAAGGTGCAATGGACTTGCTACCAGAAGCTCTCGGGCAAATAGCAAAGGTAAACCCCTGGCCATCTCACCAACTGGTCTGGTCACGATCCCTTGTGTTGTGCTAGCGAGCCCTCTTCTCTTACTGCTGTTCCCAGGAGCACTAAACTCAGCGTTCTGCCGGGGTCCCAAGTGGGTGCTCTGGGTGACTGACAAGGCTCTCCATCCCTGCACATCCCCAGCACACCTGCACTGGGCAAGCCCAGCTTTAGTCTCAGTGCATGCTATTTAAGAACTTTTGCTATTTTCCTGCTGTGTAGGAGAAATGCAATTAATTATACGTAGAAAATGCTTGAGTCTTCAGGCTCACTTTGGGTATCTGCTTTAAAAAAAATCTGTTTTGGTATGTGCAGTAACTGCACAGTATTGTCAGTTCTTGTTAGTGCTCGTGGAAGGTGCTGGAATGACAGCCCTAGTGACTGAAATGCTTTTAGCCACAGAACAGTTACCCTGTGGGCACTAACAGCAGCAGCATACGTTTCCCCAGAAGGCCTTGCCAATGTATCCCAACCCTTTTCTGCAGGGACTGCCTCTCAGGGTAAAACAGTCATTCAGTTTCTATGGCGATTCCAACTTAGTCATTCTCCAATGAGAATGCTAACTAGAGAACCGTGCCAGTCATGGTGTTTGCTTTTGTGGGGTGGACACCAGTTGGGGGCTGGACGGCAATCCCCAGCTCATTTCACTCGGGCAGCTCAATAGTTAGTAGGTGACGATAACTGTGGGCACTTCTAAAGGCTGCTTAACAGTCTTTGAATCTCTCAGTGTTGATCTAACTGTGCAGCGTAATGCACTAGAATGAGTGTGTGCCCCCTTTCTATCATGTCCCTCGTCAGTTAGGGAAGCTCATCAGAGAAGGGTGGAGAAAAAGCCACCAAATAATCTCCATATGAGCCTTCAAAGTTGGAGTTGTTTTGAAATTCAGAGAAATACCTTAAAATAAATATTGGGGTACAAGCAGGGAGGCTTTCAGGCAAGGGATTGTGTGAGGCTGGTAAGTGCGGGGTCTATTACAGGAGGCAGGGCTCTGTGGCCTGCAATGTGCAGGAGATCAGACTAGATCACGACAGTCCCTTCTTTCTTTAAAGTCTAAATCTATGAATGGGATGGGCAGAGCCATGTTAGAGCTTTGGGGGCAGAGAAATTTGAGTGCCCTTTATAAAGCACTATTGGTTGGTATTTGACTTGTTTATCTGTACAGAAATGCCACACTGTCCTTGTGTCAGAGATGTGTGGCTGTACAGAGCTACTTTATGTATCTGGGTCTACAAATTGACGAGGGGTGCCTATCTGATACATTAGGCATCTCCAACGGCAATTAAAAACACTAGTACCGATGGAATCAATACAAAGAGAAACCACAGACAAGAATGATGAAACAGCTTAAAAGGACTCCCCCATTTTCCCAATGCCTCACCCACCCCTTGAGTAATCTTCCCAGCCTCACCAGCCCTCTTAAGAAGATGAGCCTTCCAAGGTGCTCTGACTATCAACAGATCAGACTGTTCTGAACCAAATAGCTGGGAGGAGCCGGGTGCATTCCAAAGGGAAGCGGTCCTCATGGAAAAGGCCCTGCCAGCTGCCCCACTGTCTCATCCTGAGGTGGAGGAGATCTAGCTGAAGCACCTCCATACATTTCAACTGCAGCAGGGATGGCACGAGGAGGGAGGTAGTCTCCCAGCCTGACATATTGAGACATGTGGGTTTTGTTATTCACAATATAGATATGGAATACACAGTTCTTCCCAATATTATGTATTTTAGTGTCTCACGGAGTATCCGTCACTGTAGCAATCACTCTTTTTACTACAGAGCTGTTTATAGCACAGTGCTGCAAAAAAACTCCTGGCATAATGCTGTGTACCTGTGACGTTTCCCAGGGTACAATCTGGACCGTTGGACAGCTGTCTTCCCGCCGCCCCCAAGCTCTCTAGCCTCGGATGACTTTTACACTGCTTAGCTTCCACCCCTTGGTGCTGCTCCCACACAGCTTTTCGCATGCAAAATCATTCCACTGGATTATAGGAATGTTTCTAGTAAGCCACTCCTGAATTACGTACAGGGTGACACCGGCAAATTCTTAGTCCTAGCCTTGCTGCCCAGAAATGAGCATCTTCTACTGCTCAGTACCCTCCTGGACAGTACAAGCTCATATATAGTCTATTTCAACAAAGGAAAATGATTATGCCCCAGTCTTGTTATCTCAAGTAGAGGTTCCCAAACACGTCAAACCTAACGTATACTGGTTTAGATAAAACAAAATAAATCAAGTTTATTAACTCTAGAAAGATGGATTTTAAGTCATGAGGCATAAAAGTCAAATTGGTTAAAAAAGAAATAAAAAGATAAAACTGCAAGCTGATTCCTAACTTTACCAAGTTAATACTATAAAAGCAAAAAGGTCTGTCTCACCATAAGCTGTAGTAAATTTCACAGGCTGGGTCTCCTTCCAGCCTGAGACCCCTCGCCCTGTTCAATGTCCTTCAGGAATTTGTTGATGCTGTGAGCAGAGAGATATGAGGAGGACAAGTGATGTGAGGGTCACTGTCTCTCATTCTTCTACTCTTCTCCCCTCTTTGAGGATTCCCCCCCCCCCCCCCGGGGTGCAGACATACAGCCTTCTGTATACGTAAGGTTTGAACCGTCTCTGAGATAAAATGTAAATTTCTTGTTTATACCTTCTCCCATGCTGGAGAATGGCTGCTTAAGCTAGTGATCGCTTTTTAACACCTTGTTGGTGTGCCAGTGTGTCTTTGTCTCTGAGAAACTGGTTTGTGGGTGTTACCCAGAACTACAGCGTATTTCAGTAAGAATCATACAGTAGAAACTTATAACTTTACACATAATGTTGCTACACATATTTCAACAGGATAATATTCAGCAGATTATGAATTTTCAAATGATACCTCAAGGCATACTTTGCACTAAATATATCATAACCTTATAAAAGTGGTGAACATTGGGTACTGGGTGTCACAGTATCTCATCACTTACACTGTGCCTATATTTGTAGAGACCTTTTATTGAAACTGGAGGTCAAGGTCCTTCTTCCACTTATAAGCAATTTTTTTTTATCAGAAAGCAGAACACACCTTGTGCAGTCAATATGAGGAGAAGGTTCGTCCCTGTATTGATCTCATTGACTCCCTGAGAGCCCTTGGAGTAGAAAAGGACCTGGCTTTGCCAGCAATTGCAGTGATTGGAGACCAGAGTTCTGGAAAAAGCTCGGTTCTAGAAGCCCTGTCCGGAGTCGCTCTTCCTAGAGGCAGTGGTAAGAATTTACCTCTCAGCTTTTCATATCCGAAATCTGACATTTCCCTGGGTCACAGTGGTGTGTTATTCTGTAAGGGTGCTGGAGGACTGCTTTGAAATGGGGGGGAGCCTGTGATCTGGGAGACTGAACATGGGGCTGCAAGGCAGGAGACCTGGGCTATGTTGTCAGCTCTGCCAGGGACTTCTCATGTGACCTTGTACAACTCACTTCACTTCCCTGATCTTCAGGTACCCCTTTCTGCAAAATGAGGATAACTGCAATATATTTACACACCTATGTAATGAGCTTTGAGTTCTTCAGATGAAGAGCACAAAGAGCCTAGTCCAGAGGTCCTTGAACTCCAGTGGAAAGACTATTATTGCAATGAACATTACATTTGAGTCCTACTACTGTGTAATGGCAAAGTAGTAGTAGTACCTTTGAATATGATACATGTTGAAAATAAGCTAAAGACAATATGTTGGTACTGTATTTCAATGGCTTCCAAAGAGGAGGGAAACGTGTTTTATTCTTCATACTCAACTAGTGCTTTATGTTTGTTTAATTTGATAGGTATTGTTACCAGATGTCCTTTAGAGCTCAAACTGAAGAAAGTGCATTACACGCAGGAATGGAAAGGAAAAATTACTTACTTGGCGATAAAGCAAGAATTGAATGGTCCTTCCGAAGTGGAAAAAGAAATAAGGAAAGGTAAATGTAACCTGGGACGTAAATAACATGCTTTGAATCTTGTATTTCCTTGTGGCCCTGATTCTGCAATGATGTCTGTGTGGGCACAGGAGCATATTGCAGGATTGAGGCCTGCGTTTGCAATGGCATCATAAAAAGTGGGGATTTCTCACTCTTCTGTTCTTGATGTTTGTGCCTAGTTAAGACATTATCATCACTTACTCTTTTCTATAGCTCCATAAGTGCATAGTGCTTACAATAAGTAACATTTGCAAGTGGGCTCCCTGCTGAGCTGGCCAAATAACAGATTTATTGGTTCACTGGTGATTTTGGGGGAGGGGGGAAATCTTGTTTTGGGTCAAACTGAAAATTGTCAGTGAATTGGGGGAAAAAATTGTTTCAGGTCAAATAAAACATTTCCTTTCAACCAACTCGAAACTTGTTTATTTGATATCAGCCATTTGGATGGTTTTGAAATAAAATGGGAGTTGTTTTGTTTTGAAGTTTGTTTTATGTATTTTTAGCTGAAACCATTTTGTGAAATTGACATGAATTTGTGAAATGTTTTGGTGTCGCCAAATCTACATTTCTCGCTTAGAAGAATGTGTGAAAAATTTCGCCCAGCTCTACTCTGTGCTTCAAGCCAGACATACACTTATGCTGGATGCTGACAGATTAGCAGCAAGCGTGTGGTTTAGCACTCCTGTTCTTTGAGGCTGCTATTTGCTATTCCCTGGGCCAAGTCTTGGATATTGTTGTCCTTTACAGTATAAAAAATGAAGACTAATCTTTATTATTTTATACTATATTTATAAATCTTCTTTCAAAGCTAAAATGAAGGGATAACTTTTCTGAGACCACATTTTATATAGAAATAAATTTAGCAATAGGGTTTTTTCTTAATCCACGTCATTTTCTAGTTTAAATTCCACGACGAGCGTCTAATCTTTGCTTTTGTGTCTCCTTCCTCTAGCCCAGGATGCAATGGCTGGTGAAGGAGTGGGCATTAGCCAAGAATTAATTTCCCTAGAAATTAGCTCCCCAAATGTTCCAGATCTGACACTGATTGATCTGCCAGGGATTGCTAGGGTGGCTGTGGGGAATCAGCCAAAAGACATTGGAAATCAGGTAAAGTATGAAGCAATTCTAGACTGGGAAACTGGTAAAAGATGGCAAAAGAAATAAGTGTCTTGCTCTGCATAATCTTCTGCTTAATGATGGCACAGAACAGACAGATATGTAATTTACCAAGAAGAATTAAGATATAACAAAATAGGGTTTTAGTGGAGGAAATGCTAGCATTGAGAAGGATGTGCCATATACAAAAGGGAGGAAAACTCTAGATTCTGTAGACAAGAATATTTGTTTGAAAATGTCTTTGTGCTCTAATGGAACTGTGTGTGTGTGTGTGTGTGTGTGTGTTCGTTCACCTTGCAGAGGTTTCAGCAGAGCTGGTTACAGGGATTACAAATTCCTAGCACATGCTAGCGTAAGGTGCAATGGACTTGCTACCAGAAGCTCTCGGGCAAATAGTGAAGGTAGAGCCCTGGCCATCTCACCAACAAATTCCTGCCCATCCCCATTAATTCTCCTCCATCTTTCCTTTTTATTTTCCATCTTTCCTTTTCCCTACTCTATTCTAATTGAAGGAGAAGGTGGTTGTTAGATTTTCGGTCCATTCAAAATCTCCCTTGGACTCAACCAGAATTGAGAGCATCTGATCTTTACATCCTCAGTGGTGTCCCAAAAGTTGACTCTCTGCATTTTTGGGGGAAGAAAGAAAAATGGTCTAGAAAGCTTTTCTGATTCAAACACTGATGAGGATGATAGTCAGCCTGCAGAAATTACTTTATGTGGTTTCACTGAAATTTTTGATCTAGTGTTTTTATTTTTGTAATGACCCTCTGACATTTACACTGAGGCAAATGACTTCTCATTGTCTCTTTCAAAACAGTATTTTAAATGCATGGGAAGAGAAGGTGCACATCTGAAAATGGCATGCTAAGGGCTTCCTTATGCCCCAGCAACCCCTGAGAGTCATAGTCCTTTGAGGCCATGGGCATCTGGTATAAAATAGAGCAACTCTGAGGCTACCCTAATTTATGCTCAGTATCAGTCCACTGACTACCAGCCCCAAGACTGAGGGGATACACAAGTGTGTTAAACTCATTTGCACTCCTCCACCTCCTGAGCTGCAGCTCAGGATCTGGGCCTAAATGTTAAATTGTGAGACTTGTTATCTTCAAGTTTTCAATAGCATCATAAAAAGCTAAAATTTGATATTGCTTAATCATTCCTAATTTAGTTCTAAGTATACCTGCTTGGACTTGTAAACCTATTACAATAAGACCATCATAAATCTTATTCTGTGCTTTTAAACAATGTTGTCCAAGTTGGTCAAATGCAGTATGTTTACATATATTTATTAACACATTTAATTTTACCTTTAGATGATAAGATTTCAGGCTGTATTGTGTTCTTCTAAAATTCTCATGTAAGTTTTTGTCCCTTAGTCACATCTGTAATACTAATGACATGCTAGCAAATCTGACCACAAGCCAGCTTGTTTTAGGAACATAAACTTTGCAGTACTGGACCCAAACCACTGAACCAATAAGTTATATCCAGTGCCTCCGGCAGAACTCAGTGCTTTGAGGCAAGTGAAAAAACACCATAATGCACCTAGGCAATTATTCGGGGGGGGGGAGCTAAATTCCTTTGAAAGCTATGAACTCTAGGAGAACCAAACCTACCACTTGTAATAGGACTTACCTACCACAGCCTATGTGAAGTAATACACTTTTATTACATTTCTTATTTCATTACAGATCATAAATCTAATTAAAAAGTATATTTGTAAGCAACAAACTATAAATCTGGTAGTGGTACCAAGTAATGTGGATATTGCAACTACAGAGGCCCTAAAAATGGCTAAAGAGGTGGACCCTAAGGGGGAGAGAACTCTAGGTAAGTAAAGATACATATATTTAAAAAGAAAATGGGGTTGGGTTGTGCAAAGAACGTTCAGTAATAAACACTGGAGAGGTTGAGCATTTTCTACCAGTTACCCAGGTTGCTAAAAGAATCCTAGGAAAGCAGCAAAGGAACGAGAGATTTGTATTTTGGTGATGGGCTTGCTATCATTTGAAATCCACACAGGATTTTCCTATCAATGCTTCGTTTCAGAATCTGAATTTCAGATAAAAAAATCACAAATGCTTTAGGGGAAAATGGCTAAAGGAGCGACTAACCCCTGCCCCCGAATTTATGAGCATTATCCTAGTCTGTAAAATGTTCTTGCAAATGTCTGTTCTGATACTTTGTAAGCCTAGAATCATTTGGGAATTTATTTTAATGACTCTCCAGGGAGAATATACTCTTGTGTGAAAATCCTTTCCTGGGCACTCCATGGCACTTAGGCCCTCACAAGTTCTTTAAAATATATAGTGTAGTATATAGAAATCTATGGAAAGAGGACATAGGTGCAAGTGTGCTACATTCATAGTGCATTAATAAGGTAGTAAACATCAAGTATTCAAAAAGAAGTATATTAGACAGTGGGTCAGATCCTCTGTTTCAATGGAGGTACTCCAATTTATACCAGTTGAGGATCTGGCCCTGTGTGTGGATAATGATACATACACACACATAAATTCCCAGACTAAAACTATGTTAAGATGGAGTTCAGGTTGGGCGAATAGATCAGTAATTTACAGTAAGTAAAGATTACACTGATGTAATTATCCAAAAACCAAGCATTATAAACCAAGGAAATTCAGAGATAAGGTTAAACTTAGAAGAAATACAAATATGTTAGGGTATGGAAATCCACAGGTAAGGACCCAAACAACCTTAAATCTGACCTGTAGTGACACCATAAAAGCTATATGGTTATGACTGAGGCACTTTAGTGTCCCCAGGTTAAATTAAACTGATTTTTAAAGACACATTAGAATTTGTCTTTTTTTCTTTCATGGTGAAAACTCTGTTTTGTTCCTTTACTGAGATTATTCAGGATATCAGATAATATAGGACACTAAGTGTTAAATTTCTTAAGGACCTGTTTTAAAATAATTTTAATTCATCAACTAACCAATTTGCTTGTAAATTCTTTAAAAAAAAAAAAAGAGGTAATGCCGGGGTTTGGGGGTGGGGGGGGGGAGATTGGATCCCTGCTTTAAATGCAAAAGTCAACTCAGTCCTAACTGTAAAGTGTGTCACCTCTCTAAATACAGTAATTCTTTTGTCACTTCACAGGGATTCTCACAAAACCCGATTTGGTCGACAGGGGAACCGAGAGCAATGTAGTTGACATTGTCCGAAATCTCAGCATCCCCCTAAGGAAGGGCTACTTGATTGTTAAATGTCGTGGGCAGCAAGACATCCATGACAACTTGACACTGGCCTCTGCAATTCAGAAAGAGAGAGAATTCTTTGAGGAGCATGAATATTTTAGGTAGCTTTAAAATCAATACACACTGAATATTGGACAGGTTTTTCCCTATTAAGAGTTTTTTTTTAAAAAATCACAGAAAATTGAGTAAATGCATGCCCTTATACATCTATGCAATGGTTAAAACCAGTCATTGGGACACATTATGAGTTGGACTATGCATGCACAAAGGGAAGTAGCTGGAGTAAGTATATGCCTCTACGTGGGCTCTTCAGGCTTTGGGTGCAAGCACACAGGAGTAAGTGGGGTACTTACTTGCTTACACCCCAACTGGAGCAGGTGAGTGGTGCCTTGGCTTTATCATCTTACTGGCCAGGATAGTCAGGAGTTCACTTGTGGTTATGGCCATCAGTAAATTACCACCCGCTGAGGAGAAGGCGGAAGCAGGGGAGGAATTGTGACTCAGCGGTGTGTCTCTGGGTTATAATGCCTCCTGGAGGTGGTGCAGCTTGCACACAACCTCTAGTTTAGCATTGTGCCTGAAGTCACAGTCTAGCCGTGTGTTGTTGTGCATATAGAACAGAGTAAATTCACTCATTCAGGAATAGAAGTAGTTCACTGACAATGGCGTGGAGACTTTTGATACACTTGTAGTTGGAGTAGTTGAGGACCTAGCTAAACAATGTGACTCTCGGTGTTAATATTGATGTTGTGTAGGCAGGCGTTCCACCCATGACTGGTTAGACCAGGCCAGGACTGTGAGGCAGCCCAGATCTGGTTGCACACTTAGCCTGGGAATTACAGTGCAAAAGACAACTACAGTCCTGTCTGCACCCAGCTGCCTGAATAAAAAAATAATCTTTTCATTCATCACCACCAGCTAATCTCTATTATCAGAGACAAAAATCTGTTCATTATTGTGGTGTGTGAGCACCATACAAAATTCCATAAATCCACATGGGTGGCCTATACACAGACCTAAAATCCTCTTTTCTTCCTCTTCCCAAGAACAGACAATGTCATAATCAGCATCTTATTAATACTTTCATCAATAGATCTCAAAGCGCTTTACAAAGTAGCTCAGTATCCTCTCCATTTTACAGATGGGGAAACTGGGGCAGAAAACAATGAAGCAACCTGCCCCAGATCACCCAGAAGGCCTAAGGCAAAGTCAGGAACAGAACTGAAGTCTAGACCTGTGCCAATAACTGATTTTTTAATTCCGTCGCCAATTTTTTTTCCTGACAAAATGAATGAGTTGAAAACATTCAACAAAATATTTGTTTTGGAGCATTTTTAATCTTTTATAATTTTTTTAAAATACATTGAGTGAAATTCCAAAACAAAATATTTTTCAGAAACAAAAATTCCAAAAAATTTCTTTTTTTGACATTTCCAGACTTTTTTTTAAATTTGGCTGAAACAATTTGCCAAAGTTGACCTGAATTCACCAATTGCTTCAGCGAACCCGAAACTACATTTTTCAACAAAAAAAATGATTTGCATGGAAAACTTCACCCAGCTCTATCTACATCCTCCAAGTCCCAATTCAGTGCTCCATCCAATAGGCCACACTGCTTTGAAGAGAAACCTGTGTTCTGCTTCTCTTCTTCCATTTCAGGAACAGAATGAAATGGTTATTAATTAATTATTTCTTATTGTTAGTTCTACAAGAACAATGGGAGAGCTTTCATTTTTGTCTCCAGAGCAGCCAGATTTGTAGTTGCTCTCAGCTCTTGTTGAAGGGAATGACACCACTGATGGCTATCAGCTCAGGAGGCTTTCTCTCTAGTTCCATTAATCTCACCCTGGTCTTTGATAGCTCCGTCATCCCTGAGGATCACAGATGCCGTAGAACGGGGGCAGGCAAACTTTTTGGCCTGAGGGTCACATCGGGTTTCCGAAATTGTATGGAGGGCCGGTTAGGGGAGGCTGTGCCCTCTCCAAACAGCCAGGCGTGGCCCAGCCCCCCCTCCTTCTCGCCCCCTGATGGGGGACTCCCCCCGGGACTCCTGCCCCATCCAACCCCCCCCATTCCCTGTCCCCTGACGGCCCCCCCGGGATTCCTGCCCCATCCAACCCCTCCTGCTCCCTGTTCCTTGACAGCCCCCGGAAACTCCGTCCCGACTGCCACCCGATCCAACCCCTCCTTTCATTCCAGACTACCCCCCTGGGATCCCTGCCCCATCCAACCACCCCTTCCTCCCTGTCCCCTGACCGCTCCTGGAATCCCTGCCCGCCCCATGCCGCCCCATCCAACCCCCCCTCTCCTTCCTGACTGCTCCCCAGGACTCCTCCCCCCATTCAACCCCCCCCCTTCCCTGCCCTCTGACCACCCCGATCCCTATCAACACCCCCGCCCCCTGACCACCACCCCGAATTCCCCTGCCCTCTATCCAACCCTCTGTGCTCCCTGCCCTCTTACCGCGCTGCCTGGAGCACCGGTGGCTGGCGGCGCTACAGCCGCACTGCTCAGAGCCCCAGGACAGGCAACCGTGCCACATGGCTGGAGCCAGCCATGCCACCACGCAGCACAGAGCACCGGGTCAGGCTGCGGCTCTGCAGCTGTGCTGCCCGACAGGAGCTCGCCGCCCAGAGCATTGCGCTGGCGGCACAGTGAGCTGAGGCTGCGGGGGAGGAGGAACAACAGGGGAGAGGGGCCGGGGGTTAGCTTCCCAGGCCAGGAGCTCAGGGGCCGGGCAGGAGGGCCGTAGTTTGCCCACCTCTGCTGTAGAAGGTCTTGGTCACAGATAAAGTTTTCTGAGAGCGCCTAGGTCCATTTTATTTCTCCAAAAATTCATGCTGGAAATGTTATTTGCACACTTGCAAGAAATAATTTGACCATTTTTAATACTATTAGTAAGTATTTATATAACTGGCCAGATCGGTCAGTATCTGTACTGTAGTGAAGTACTCTGGAATCCTTTGGGATGAAAGAAGGAATTCTTTGGGATGATATTATTTATTGTATTCTTTAATCTCTTTCAGTATTCTTTTGGAAGAAAGAAAAGCTACTATCCCACTTTTGGCAGAGAAACTTACACAGGAACTGATAGAGCACATTAATGTAAGTTAGCAAACCTGGACTACTGGCTCTTTAAAAAACTATTTGGTGAACACACAAAAGAGCAAATGTTGTTTGGCTCTTTTGCCAAGATATTTATTTAAGCAGTGTAGTAGCAGGTCAGAACTTTCTGAAACCTTAACTAGCTTGTAGAAAATAAATATAAAGGAGACCTTTTCTCATAAATTCATATTTTTAGCTAATGGTTTAGCACAGGAGTCGGCAACCTTTGGCACGCGGCTCACCAGGGTAAGCACCCTGGCGGGCCGGGCCGGTTTGTTTACCTGCCGCGTCCGCAGGTTCAGCCGATCGCGGCTCCCACTGGCAGCAGTTCGCCGCTCCTGGCCAATGGGGGCGGTGGGAAGCGGCACGGGCCGAGGGATGTGCTGGCCGCGGCTTCCCACAGCCCCCATTGGCCTGGAGCAGCAAGCCTCGGCCAGTGGGAGCCGCGATCGGCCGAACCTGCAGATGCGGCAGGTAAACAAACCGGCCTGGCCTGCCAGGGTGCTTACCCTGGCAACCCGCGTGCCAAAGGTTGCCGACCCCTGGTTTAGCATAAAGCAATTTACAGATCTTTAAGAAGCATTAGGTACATTTTTATATGTATCCCCTGATTTAAACCAGGGATTAGGAGATCCATACCAGCTTTATGTCAATGCCTTATATATGGATAAAATAGTCTTGGCTAATCAGAGGTTTTGCACACTATTCTCTTAGATTGGGTTGCGGATAAAAACATTTTGCGGAATTGTTAATACCAAGTGACAATTCACACTTTCAGTTGTAGGTTAGTGATGACCCAGAATTCACTTCAGAAAATCGCTAGTAGAAAATTATAATTGTTCCATGTAGTATTATACAATTAAAATTTTTTTAAAATGTAAGTTGTTTTTTTTCCCTCCTCACTAAAAAAAAAATCAAACCTTTTACTTGGGACCATCTTACCAGTTGTTTTATTTCTTTTCAATTTGTAAGCACCTGGAGGATAATAGGGTTATCAGGAATAGCCAACATGGATTTGTCAAGAAAAAATCATGCCACACTTACCTAATTTCCTCTTTTGACAATGTTACTGGCATAGTGGATAGGGGAGAAGCAGTAGATATTGTATATCTTGATTTTAGTAAGTCTTTTGACACAGCCCCACATGTCATCCTCATAAGCAAACTAGGGAAATGTCGTCTTGATGAAATTACTAGAAGGTGGGTGCGCAATTGGTTGAAAGACCGTATTCAAAGAGTAGTTATCAATGGTTTGCTGTCAAACTGGAAAGGCATATCTAGTGTGGCCCCATAGGGGTCAGTCTTGGGTCCAGTACTATTCAATATTTTTGTTAATGACTTGGGCAATGGAGTGGAAAGTGTGCTTATAAAATCTGTGGACGACAACAAGCTGGAAGGGGTTGCGAGTACTTTGGAGGACAGCATTAGAATTCAAAATGACCTTGACAAATTAGAGAATTGGTCTGAAATCAACAAGATGAAATTCAATAAAGACAAGTAAAAAGTATTTTATTTAGGAAGGAAAAAACAAATGCATAACTGCAAAGTGGGAATCACCGGTACTGCTGGTGGTAGTACTGCTGTAAAGGATCTGGGGGTTATAGTGGATCACAAATTGAATATGAGTCAACAACATGATGCAGTTGCAAAAAAGGCTTAAATCATTCGGGTGTGTATTAACAGGAGTGTCATATTTAAGACATGGGAGGTAATTGTCCTTCTCTACTTGGCACTGGTGTGGCTTCAGCTGGAGTACCGTGTCCAGTTCAGAGCACCAAACTTTAGGAAAGATGTGGACAAATTGGAGGCAGTCTAGAGCAGAGCAACAAAAATGATAAAATGTTTAGAAAATCTGACCTATGAGGAAAGGTTTAAAAAAAAAAAAACTGGCTATGTTTTTAGTCTTGAGAAAATAATAGTGAGGAGGGACCTGGTAAGTCATCAAATCTGCTAAGGGCTGTCATAAAAAGGACTGTTATCAATTGTTCTCCATGTCCAATGTAGATAGGACAAGAAGCAATGGGCTCAGTATGCAGCAATGGAGATTTAGGTTAGATATTAAGAAAAACTTTCTAATTATAATGATAGTCAAGTTCTGGAACAGGTTTCCAATGGAGGTTGTGGAATGACTATCACTGGAGGTTTTTAACAACAGGTTGAACAAACACCTGTCAGGATTGGTCTAGGTTTACTTGGTCCTGGACAGAGGGCTGGACTTAATGGCTTCGCAAAGTCCCTTCCAGCCCTACATTTCTATGATTCTATTATTTCCCCCCCACAGAAATCACTACCAACTTTAGAAAATCAGATAAAGGACAAACTCCGGGTGGCAAACAACAAGCTACAAAAATATGGCAAAGGTGTGCCAGAATCAGTAGAAGAGCAGATGCTCTTCCTAGTAGATGTGAGTATAAATATGGATCTGGTAACTCATTTGAATAAAAACCATTGGTTAGCATTTGGAATTGTGTGGATATTGCAAGTTGGTCTCTTTTTCTAGGCTGCGTATTCCGTGTGTTGCTTCATGAAATCACTAACTACAGACAGATCCATATGCACTTTTCTTAACATAGGAGAACTAGGTCATGAGCATTACTCTCAATTCCCAGTCTTCATAAATCCAGAATATTTACTCCCCAATAAAATAAACCAGATTAAAAATAAGATTGTTCCTGTTTTATCAATGTCAGCTTTGATAATACAATGGGTGAATTACATTTGGTTGCATTAATTATATCAATGCACTGAAAGTCGCTGGTAATAGAAGATGCTGTATTAGGCAAAGGCGTAATAGAAATCAAAAATAAGTAGTTGTATTCCATATTTACAAGGCCATAATATTTTGCACAAAATTCCAGTGATTTTTAAAAGCAACATTGTTTTCCACCTGTATTCTAACCAGCCCAGGTAATCCCATACTACTCCTTCACAGCCACTACTCAAACAATCCCAGCAGTGTGCAGTGAGTAGGGATCAGGGATGTGCACTAAAACAGAACTTCTCAAACTTTAAATCCGGCGTGGCTATATTTTAATACAGAGACTGCCTTGTGCATCACCTCCACTCACATTCAGAATAACACAGCATTCTGCCACAGCAATTGCTTACATGGAAAAACAACATTAGGGAAGTATTCAATATATTTTTAGGTTTCAGAGTAGCAGCCGTGTTAGTCTGTATCCACAAAAAGAACAGGAGTACTTGTGGCACCTTAGAGACTAACAAATTTATTTGAACATAAACTTTTGTGGGCTACTCGATTACAGACCTAAAAGTCGCAATATTACCACAAAAAAACTTTAAAAACAGACTCCAACGAGAGACTGCTGAATTGGAATTAATTTGCAAATTGGACACCATTAAATTAGGCTTGAATAAAGATGGGGAGTGGATGGGCCATTACACAAAGTAAAACTATTTCCCCATGCTTATTTTTCCCCCCCCTACAGTTCCTCACATCTCCTTGTCAATGGCTGGAAATGGGCCATTTTCATTACCACTACAAACAGTTCTTTTTCTCTCCTGCTGATAGCTCACCTTAACTGATCACTCTTCTTATAGTGTGTATGGTAACACCCATTGTTTCATGTTCTCGGTGTGTGTGTGTGTATGTGTGTGTGTGTATGTATATATATATATATATATATATATATGTATATATGTATGTATGTATACACACACACACAATCTTCTTACTCTATTTTCCACTACATGCATCCGATGAAGTGGGCTGTAGCCCACAAAAGCTTATGCTCAAATAAATTTGTTTAGTCTCTAATATATTTTTAGTTTCTTTTGATGAAATTTAGCTGCTGGAAACCAGGAGGATTATTGTTATTCATTTGTATTACCGGAGCATCTAGAACAGCCCAAATTGAGATCAAGACCTCATTAGGCTAAGTACTGTACATACACAGACTAAAAGATATTTGCTTCCCAGAAGAGCTTGCAACCTAAATAGACAAGGCAAACAAAGGATGAGAGGGAAACAGACCCTGAGAAATGAAGTAACCTGCCCAAGACCACACAGCAAGTCAGTGGCAGTGCTGGGAATAGAACCCTAGGCCACCTCCTTGCCCTAAACACTGAACCTCCTCAGACCAGCAGCAGGTCACAGGCCATGCAGTTTGAGCAGTACTGTGCTGAAATACACAGCCTATGAGCTCCGACTGCATCTCAGAATGTCACTTCCACAGCTGGAGCTACAGACAACCTGCAGAGTGTGAATTCCATAGTTTTGCAGGGAGCAGTGTGTAACATTTGCTCCAGCATTTCCCCTCCCTGCTGCAAAGTTTGGGTTATGTATCATTGCAAACCGCTCAGGGTCTGAATTTAGTCCCCTGAGTGTTGTTTAACTGACAATTTCCTGTCTCTTTACAGAAACTCAAACTCTTTAACCAGGACATCATGAATTCAGTGCAAGGAGAAGAAATTTTAACTGATAAAACAAAACAAAGACTATTCACAAAAGTTCGCAAGTACTTTAATGAATGGGAAGCCCATATTAATAACAGTACACTGAAAGGTAAGCACCAAATGTTGGCACTTGGCCTGAAAGTTGTTCTGCGCTGACAGCAGGGTCGTTCCTAGCTATTCTGGGGCCCTACACAGTCCCCCCGCGGGGGGGAGGAGGGCAGGCCTCCGTGGTGGGGAGCGGGGCTGGCTTGGGGAACAGGGGGAACCACCTCCCAGCACTCACCGACGGCATGGCTGGGGCCGGGCCGCTGCACTTCCCGCCACCAGTGAGTGCAGGCCCAGTCCTGTCCGCTCTCCTCAGGGGAGTGGGGACGGGGCTGGGGCGGAGCAGGGGTGGTAAGAGGTGGGGCTGGGACGGGGAAGGGGTGGGGAAGGGGTGGAGCAGGGCGGGGGCTTTGGGAAAGGGTGGGAAGAGGCAGGGCAGGGGCGGAGCAGTATGCAGCTGCGCAGGGCACCAGGAAATGTGGTGCCTCAAATTTCCTGGTGCTTACGGAGCTGCGTACTTTGCGTATGGGTAAGGACAGCCCTCTCTGACAGACGGACATCTGTGAGTGCCCAGAGCCCTAGTGAAATCAATGGGGCTCCATATGGGCACAAAGGTCTGCTTGCATGGACCGGCTTGTTCTTGTTGGGGGCCCTTATCCATGATTAGAGATTAGTCCAAAGGACAAATTCCAAATCTGGATCCAAGCCTGTGTAAATTGTGCGGGTGTTAAGTACAGAGTTTAGTGTGACCCAGTCACTACTTTTAATGATCTCTACTCTCGCAGTTCTGTTCTACCTGAAGTTGTACCAGCCCTAAAAATTAAGGCTAATGAAATTAAATCCTTGCAGTGATGCAAGTTAGATTCCTGGGTTGTTTCGAGCTGTTTGTTTCCATGACTGTTAGCAAGTTGATTTATCAAAGTCATAGCCACAAATCACAATTCTGGAGTACTGCAGGTAGTGTATTTGCTAATACTTCTCCAGGAATGCCAGTTGGCCAGGGCTGTCCCTAGCTATTTTGGTGCCCTACACAGCCCCAGGCCTCTGCAGGGAGAAGTGCGGGGCGGGGGGGGGGGCGGCTGGCTCCAGGCCTCTGTGGGGGACAGGGGGAAGAGGGGCTGGCCACTTCCTGCAGAAAGTGGAGTGACCCGGCCCCAGTCTGCTCGGCTCCCCTGGCTCCCAGGCTTGGGGGCGGTGGGGGCTGGGAGCCAGGGAAGCGGAGCACGCTGGGGCTGGGTTGCTCTACTTACTGGTGAGTGCAGGCCCGACCGCTTCTGGAGTCCTCAGGGGAGCAGGGGCAGGAAGAGGTGGGGCGGAGGAGGGATGGGGGCCCTGGGGAAGAGCCGAAGCACGGGCTGGAGCAGTACACAAGCTGTGCAGGGCACCAGGAAATGTAGTGCCCCAAATTTCCTGGTGCCCTACGCAGCTGCGTACTTTGTGTATGGGTAAGGACGGCCCTGCAGCTTGCTAAAGGTAACACAGCCTGTTAATTACTCCAAAAGTGATTGTGAATCTCTCTGCATGCTAAACAACATTACTGTAATGTTAAATTTGAGATAAGCTGTGTTTTCAAAATGGTCAAATGGAGGTAGATACCCAAGTGCCTTAGGCCCCTTTGATATCTCAGCCTGTTACACACAACTCAGACAATTCAGAGATCCTTCCTGCAGTGACTTTAACTCTGCCCCCTCAAATATCTACAGCACTACTGGCTTCAAAACTTTATATCTACAATCTTCTTATTCCTTAAGCTAACCTGAGGTTTGCTGTAGCTGTTCTGCATCCAAATAGACACATGAGAACTAAGAAATAGTTTTAGACCCTTATTAAATCCAGGCCTTTTCACGTAGATTTTAGTATAAAAACAAACACATCTCGAATTATTAGAAATAACGGTGCTGCTTTAACTGCTGTAGTAAAAGAAATTATGAAAGAAGAAGTGTGGGGCTTTGAAAATCACTATCGTGGAAGAGAGCTCCCAGGTTTTGTCAATTACAAGACATTTGAGGCCATTGTGAAACAACAAATTGTGCTGCTGAAATCACCAGCTATCATGATACTGAAGACAGTGACTGGTGAGTTTCATTCACTGAGTTTGCCATAAACTTTGACCATATTCACTTAGCTGCTTTTATAACCGCTTAGCTTTAATTCATATGGAAAGTTTTTAGGGGGCAGATGAGTTTTGGGGCTGCAATCAGAATGATGGTAATTACAACTTGTGGAGTGTAGCTAACTGGTAAAATATTGAAATATTCAGTCCTCCACGTACTGCTTCAAATCAAATATACAAATGCAAATGTTTTCACTGAGACCATAAATACCAAATCATATTTTTAAATGTAAGTAGGAGAATAGTATAGATTAGAGCAGGGGTCGGCAACTTACGGCACGCGTGCCAAACACGGCACGCAAGCTGATTTTGAGTGGCATGCTGCTGCCTGCTGCGGTCCCGGCCCCCAGCCCCACTCAGCCCCCACGCCCACCGCTCTCCCCTGCGGGGGCAGGAGGCAGAAGCTTGGTCCTGCGGCAGCCAAGCTTCCCCCCTCCCCTGCTTCTTCCCCCAGCGTGGTGCTTTCCTGCCCCTCCTCCTCTCCTTCCCTGCGCCGATCAGCTGATGGCCCTTGCGAGGGGGAGGGGGACGAGTCGCAGCATGCTCGCTGCTCTGTAGAGGAGGCAGAGAAGAGGTAGGGACGGGACCTTGGGGAAGGGGGTGGAACAGGGTATATCCCTTCCAGCCCCCTGCCATGAGCCGCTTAGGGCAGGGGGCTGGGAGCACCCCCACGAGCCGAGCACCCCAGCCCTCCGCCCTGACCCCTGAACTCCCCCCCACACCCAGTCTTCTGCCCTGTACCTCCACACCCCTCCAGCCCTCTGCCGTGACCCCGAACCCCCCCACACCCAGTCTTCTGCCCTGTACCTCCACACCCCTCCAGCCCTCTGCCCTGACCCCGAACCCCCCCACCCCAAGCCCTCTGCCCTGTACCCCCCCACACCCCCTCTGCCCTCACCCCTGAACCCCCCACACACCCAGTCTTCTGCCCTGCACACCCCCAGCCCTCTGCCCTGACCCCTGAACACCCCCCCCAGGTCTGGGGTCCCGGCTTCCGGCCCCTTGCCTGCCGGTGTCCTGGCTGCAGGCCCCGCTCAGCCAGCTGCCGGCCTAGGTGAACAGAACCCCAGGCTGGCAGCGGGCTGAGCAGGCTGGCAGCGTAAGATCAGCATTTTAATTTAATTTTAAATGAAGCTTCTTAAACATTTTGAAAACCTTGTTTACTTTACATAAAACAATACTTTAGTTATATAATATAGACTTATAGAGAGAGAGAGACCTTCTAAAAAATGTTAAAATGTATTACTGGCACATGAAACCTTTAAATGAAAGTGAATAAATGAAGACTCGGCACACCACTTCTGAAAGGTTGCCTACCCCTGGATTAGAGAGTTATCACTAAAATTGTATCAAATTTAAAGTAGCAATATATTGCTACAAACTGTGGAAGTATGATGCAGATAATTTTGGTGGAAGTGTCAAATTCATTTTACTCTGTTTCGTGCAAGTGCCATTACAATCTCCACAGGACCCATGGACTCAATATGATTTTAGTAGCAGTGCTACAAGTCTTCCATACCCGGGCTCCAAATCCCCTAATGGATTGGACTACTCAAGTGTTTAAAGATAAGAATGTGTTAACAGAGTTTTGCTAGACTAGGGCCTCAAAGGAGAATGAACCGAAAATACTTAATTATAAACTTTAAGTTTAAATATTTTTATTCAACTTATTTGCAAGTGAAAACATTTATAACCGCCTGGAACACAAAATAATACACATCACAAAACCATCACCCACACAGAATAGAAATGCACAAACCAAGAAGCTTTCAAATTAAAACATTATTTAAGCTACAGCTGAACTCAATTTGTTAATGACTCATACAGTTCTTATATTTATGCTGATAACATGAAATTATAGTTATTCCTCCTCTCCCTTTTTAGAGCTTGTACGAGAAACTTTTACTGAAATTGCCATGCAACACTTTGAGAACTTTTTCTATCTTTTCAGAGAAGCTAAGGTAAGGGGCTATTTATGGCAGTGGTTCTCAACCAGGGGTACATGTACCCCTAGGGGTACGCAGAGGTCTTCCGGGGGTACATAAGCTCATCTATTTGCCTAGTTTTACAACAGGTTACATAAAAAGCACTAGCAAAGTCAGAAAAACTAAAATTTCATACAGACAATGACTTGTTTATACTGCTCTATATACACTGAAATACTCTTCACACAATGCACTGTCAACCTGTGGAACACTTTGCCAGAAGATGTTGTGAAGGCCAAGACTAGAACAGGGTTAAAAAAAGATCTAGATAAATTCACGGAGGATAGGTCCATCAATGGCTATTAGCCAGGATGGGCAGGGATGGTGTCCCTAACCTCTGTTTGCCAGAAGCTGGGAATGGGCGACGGGATGAATCACTTGATGATTACCTGTTCTGTTCATTCCCTCTGGGGCACCTCGCATTGGCCGCTGTTGGAAGACAGGATACTGGGCTAGGTGGATCTTTGGTCTGACCCAGTATGGCCATTCTTATGTTCTTAAATATAAGCACAATATTTATATTCCAGTTGATTTATTTTATAATTATATGGTAAAAATGAGAGAGCAATTTTTCAGTACTAGTGTGCTCTGACAGTTTTTTTATATATTTTTATGTCTGATTTTGTAAGCAAATAGTTTTTAAGTGAGGTGAAACTTGGGGGTACACAAGACAAATCAGACTCCTGAAAGGGGCACAGTAGTCTGGAAAGGTTGAGAGCCACTGATTTATGGTATCTTATACCTAAATCATCATTAATGGCATGTGCTTAGAACTGTCTTTACTCTTGGTCAATCTATTGTCTAGCTGTATAACTTCCCACTGATTGGTAAAATGTCTACCACTGTATTCAGTGAATGGTGTAAAGTTACATAGTGAAGCAATAGATCTATAAAAGTGAGGGTGCTGAACAATAATGCGATGAGCTTGATGGCATGGGGCCTGATTCTGATCTTACTTAACTGGTTTTACACAAGTGTAACTTCACAGGCCTCCATAGAGTTACTCCAGAATTCTGCTGAGACCAGAATCACAGTTAAACTCATGAAGTCCCACTGGGTGCATAGTTTGTAGGACTTTAGTTCCCTGATTGTCCCACCAATTCTCCCTTTGACAGCAATCTTCTCATGTAGGCTGGCAGTTAGTCTGTCCTGTGAGGTCTTGCCTCAGGTATACAGAGCACAATTAGCAGAGACCTTGACTTTCATTTAGTTTCGTTTAATGCAAGATTGTTTGTTAATAGAAGCATAATTTAATCATAGAGGAGATTCCTGACTCTGAAAGTGTCACAAAGACTTGGGTGGAAGGTGCAGCTGCTGCTTTGCCAGCTCACTCCATCTGCATTCTCAGTATGGTCTGAAAGGCTCAGGGTGGTAGTATAGCTTCATTCTTTGCATCTGACTTCAAATGTGGGAATCTCCCTGCTCCTGAGTGTGTGTTTGTGGGATGAGCTTAACCTAGTAATGACCTGGGGGGCTCAGATTAGTCTATTGCCCCTCTGCATTCCAGCCAAGCTGACTACAGCTTTGTGCAGCCTGCGAATGAAATCACTGAGGCTTGTTGTTCTGGGTGGCTTTGATGTCTATGCAGAGGAAAGCTGTATTGAGTCAGCTTGGTATCTCATGTCTGCCTTGACAGTCAGAGATACAATGTAGGTTGTATCTGGATCTATGCTTAGAGTGGAAAATGCTCTACAGCTGTTTTTTGAGCTGATTCAGTGAGTGTCTAATAACACCTTTGTCATGATTGGACCCTTTGCCTCTACAGACTGAGGTCAGTGCTGACTGTTGCTTCTTTTGGGGAAGTAGATACATTTGAATGGATGCTTAAGAGTCATGAGTCGCTTTATAAATTGTTGGGTGGTATTGGGTCTGCTCTATTGAGTCTTCTTCTATTTTTAAATCACAGACTAGAATTGAAGTCATAAAACAAAAACAAGAGGAGGAAGCTGAAACTGTAATTGCCAATCAGTTCAAAATGGAACGCATCGTTTACTGTCAGGACAGTCTTTATCATGAGGATTTACAGGAAATTAGAAAAACTACTGGAGTCCTCCCTCTTGGTGTTGCTGTTACTCATGTTAAGTCTATTGCATCTCAAAAACAGTATTCCATTGATGAAATGGCTTATCACTTGAATGCATATTTCAAGGTGAGTTTCTTGTCTGTGTATTTCCCCCCCTACTTTGTAGAACATAATTACCTGGGGGGAAATGCTGAAATTTAAGGAGAGGGGTGATTCCTTTACTCGTAGCATTTTTTTAAAAGAAAGTAGTAGTGCTTTGAGTAAATACTGGATTAACAGTACTGGGCACAGAAGACCTTTATGGACAACAAATGTTCAAATATCCCTAGTTGTAGTCATTGCTTTTTGGCACTTGTTCCCATTACTGTTCATGACTTGCAGTAAGCTATAGAATAACCACTTGCTGCCAGGTATAATAGTGTGCCCTATTGCTAGGAGTGTTGTAACATTGAGAAGTCATAACCTCAACATGAAAGGGAATTAATTAACTATACTTTTATATTCCCAGCCTAATAGCTAGAAAGCCTCTAAGTGGAATGATCACTTGTAAAATTGCAGAATCCTATTTTCTGTGTTTCCCTCATACATCCTTGACTATTGATACATCATCCTATTGATAATCTTCTTTTTTCTTAGGGTGCAGGCAATCGTCTCTCCACTCAAATTCCTTTGATTATTCAGTCCTACGTCCTCCAGGACTACACTGAAAAGTTACAGAATGCAATGTTGCAACTTTTGCAAGATAAAGATAAGTTCAGCATTCTTCTTCTTGAGAAGAAAGATGCTGCCACTGAAAGGAAAAATGTGAAAGAAAGAATTAAACGTCTGACACAAGCTCGACAACGCTTAGCAAAGTTCCCAGGTTAAAGCAGATGTATACTGCTTACTGTATTTTTCACTCCATGCATCTGATGAAGTGGATTTTAGCCCATGAAAGCTTATGCCCAAATAAATTTGTTAGTCTCTAAGGTGCCACAAGGACTTCTCGTTGTTTTTGCAGGTTTATACTGTAATTCAAAAGTGAATTCAGCAAGTTGGGCCACCCACCAGTGTTCAATTGTACCTAAGTCAGCCATTGCGAGGTATCAGAGTGGATTGTGGTCTGAGATCATTGTGACCTTAGAGTATGCTAAATAATCCTTAAATATTTCAGCCCACTTCAAAGGCCAGCAGTTCTAGTTTAAAAGCACTGTAGTTTTTGTCATGTCTTTCTGACCTCTTCAGCCCTCAACTCACATATGTGATCATGCACTTGGCCCCCTCTGGCTGAGCACCGCACCCAGGTCATGCAAGCTTCCATCGGTTGTCACTATAAATGGCAGGCTAAAGTCAGGAGATGCAAGCACCATGGGCACCAGGTTTGTATAATTTTTGGTGGTGCTCAAGCAGAGCCATCCCGTCCATAGGACGGACCGGGGCAACGGCCCCAGGCCCCGCACTTGGGGGGCCCTGTGCTTCAGGGGAACATGGGGTCCAGGGTGGCCTGGAGGGTTAATGGGGGGCCTGGTGCCAGCAGCAGCGAGCAACCCGGCTCCAGACCACCCTGCCCCACCTCTTTCCCCCCCCCCCTTCCCCCAAGCCCCCGCCCCTGAGCAATGCCGGAGTGGGCTGGGGCCAGGTCACTCACTGCTGCAGGCACCAGGCCCCCACACTGACCCCCCAGGCCGCCCTGGACCCTGCGTCCCCTGAAGCGCGGGGCAGGGGTAGGCACCACCATGTTGTGCGATGGACACTTGACAAAATTACCGGACTTAGTGATGGACATTGGTGGTGGTGGTGGGGGGGTGTAATTATGTCATTCACTCATTCAACCCGAAAATAGCACACAATTTTCCACACTCGAAAAAAACAGTAACCTAGCTAATAATAACAATAATAATAACTTCAACTTGTATAATTAATGAAAAATGTGTGTACACTGTATATGAGATTATTACATGAGAAATGAAAGTGAGCTTGCTTTGGGATTTTACAAGGCACTTGTATCATTTAAACACATTTGGTACCCTGAGTAGTATTAACACTTCTTGCAAATCACATAAATAGGGAACCCCTGGTCCCCTTCCCTCACCCCATTGCAAAGGTACAGGGGTTATTGCTGGCTGCCCTAGGGCTGCAGAAAACCCTATGGAAAGAAGGGGATTAATTTATACAGAGGGCTGAAGGGGAACTCCCATAGTGCATTAATTAACACTTAATCAATACATCAAAATTAAATACATTATAGAGATAAGAACCTGTAATGATAGGTTTTACTTCATGAGACGCTCCAGAGAAAGAAGAGCCAGAGGGAGTAATGGTAGGGCAATCCTAGGAAGGCCAAAGGGGCTGGTAGAGGGAGTGGACAGAGAACAAGGGTAGAGGCAGAGTTGCTGCAGGGTTGGCCCAGTCTTCTGCATCTCCCCTGTGGGTGGAAACACAGCTCACTGTCCCTATAGGAGGGAACAATAGAATGGAATGCCCAGAAGAATGAATGACTTGAGGACAATTTCCTGAAGGGACCCTTACCCTTGCAGAGCTTTTCTAGCTCTGACATTTACATTTCTACACAGGATGGTTTGGCCCACAGAAATAAAAATCTGTACATCTTCCATGTGTTTCTGGACCAATGGAAAAAACTAGGTACAATCCAAGTGACTTTTAAAATTGCCTATGAAACTGAGTTAACAAAATAAATGAGCTTATGAACAACCAGAAAATATACTTAAGTGAAAAACTATAAATGGATTTCTTTGCAAAGAAATTGCAAGTTTTCATACAGGAAAAGCCACAAACTACCTGGAAAGGAAGAGTAGATTGAATTACTTGCCTCTGTGAAATTAAATACCCAGAGAAATGTTGTGCCTGTGATGCTGATGACCAGGGCTTGCTCACCTGTGGCTCCCCTTCCTGGTGCTGTGGAGGCACGGCCAGGCAGGTCTGCAGCTGCAAGCAGGAGCCCTGCCTCAGGTGCAGCACCCATTGGCCACAGTGGCCAATAGGGGGAGCATCCTGGCCAGTGGGCTGGGGGGGAGGGAGAAGGCAAAGGGGGAGATTGTAGGGAGCTCGGGAGCAGGGGAGAGGGGAGCTGTCTGGAGGTACAAAGGTGGGGGGGTTCTCTGGAGAGGGGGGCATGGGGCAGGTGGGGGTCTTTCAGGGGGGCAAGGGGGAATGATGGATGGAGCCAGCTGCAGCCCAGGTCTACTCTGTGGGGGGAGGGGGTTCCTATAGCCTCCCCAGGAAGCCCCCTCTGTACTCTGTATTTTATGCCAGCCCCAGGGTGCCCCCTCGCTGCTCCTTCTCCCCCCCCTGGCTCCATCTGTCTGTCCCCACACCCCCCCCCCCCCCCCCATTCCCCCGGCTGTGTCTGTGTCTGACAGTGACAGACTCCTGCTGCTCTCTGCCCAGGGCTGAGAGCCGCTGCCTGCAGCTCCCTCCCCCTCCCTGCTGTGGAGGTGCGGCCAGGCAGCTCTGGGGCCGGGGCCAGCTGGCTGGGAGCCGGGTCAGCGCTGTGGGGGAGGGGGACGGAAGCAGCATGTGGAGCTGCCCTGCCTCTGCCAAGACTCTCCGCAGCACTCAGGGACGGGGGGAGCTGCCCCCAAGGTGAGAGTACCCCACATTGCCGACCCATGGCGTGGGGCCCCCCAAAGCGTGGGGCCTGGGGCCCAAACATTGGTGGAGCTGGGCCCACCTTCATGAATATTGATGGAGCCTGGGCACCCCGGGCCCATGTAACTCAAGGCCTAAAGCACAGGTGGTGTCTTAATTCGTCAAAAGCTGTCTGACAGGCATCATCCCACACAAAGCATTGGTCCTTTCCCTTCCTTTGAGCCAGTTGGCCCACTAGTCTATAGGAGTGAAGCAATGTGTGCAAACTTTGGGATCAATTGTCTGTAATAGCTCATGAAACCTAGAGCCTGCTGCACTTGCTTGGCATGCTTGGGTACCGGCCATTTTCCAGTGCCCTGGTCTTCTCCTCATCTACCTGGATTCCATCCTTCAAGATCCCATGGCCCCTGGAGTGGCGCTGAAATGGCGATCTATATAAGCCCCTGCCGGCCCGACCCTCCTTCAGTTCTTTCTTGCCGGCTACTCCAACAGAGGGGAAGGTGGGGGGGACTGGAATAGATATGAGCAACACATCTCGAAGAACAACAGTTACAGAAAGGTAAGTAACCATTTTTTCTTCTTCGAGTGATTGCTCATATCAATTCCAGTTAGGTGACTCCCAAGCCTTACCTTGGAGGTGGGGTCGGAGTCAAGGAACCGCAGATTGAAGGATCGCTCTGCCAAAGGCTGCATCATCCTAAGAGTGCTGGACGATGGCATAGTGAGACGTGAAGGTATGAACCGAGGCCCACGTGGCAGCCCTGCAGATTTCCTGAGAGGAATGTGTGCCAGAAAGGCAGCTGACGACGCCTGAGCTCTCGTGGAGTGAGCCATAACAGCAGGCGGAGGGACGTTTGCCAGGTTATAGCAAGCACGAATGCACCTGGTGATCCACGAAGATATTAGTTGAGAGGAAACCGGGGCGCCTTTCATCCGCTCCGCAAAGGCGACAAACTTCTGGGTTGTTTTACGGAAGGGCTTTGTCCAGACTATATAGAAGATGAGTGCCCTTCTAACGTCGAGAGAATGGAGGCATTGTTCAGCATGGAGTTTCGGGTAGAAAACCAGTGGGAAGATATCCTGGCTCATGTGGAAGCGGGACACCACTTTTGGTAGAAAGGCCGGATGAGGTCTTAGTTGGACTTTATCTTTATGAAAGATGGTATAGGGCGGCTCACAGGTGAGAGCGCGTAGTTCGGAGACCCGTCGTATGGAAGTGATGGCCACTAGGAAGGCGACCTTCCAGGAAAGATAGAGAAGCGAGCAGGAGGCCAACGGCTCAAAAGGAGGGCCCATAAGGCAGGAGAGGACCAAGTTAAGGTCCCATGCAGGCACGGGTGGCTTCGTTGGAGGATGGATCTTCTCCAGGCCTTTGAGGAAACGTCACACGACCAGGTGTGCAAACACCGAGCGCCCTGCCGCGTCTGGGTGGAACGCATAAATGGCTGCAAGGTGGACCTTAAGGGATCCAAAGGCTAGGTGCTGGTCCTTTAAGGACATCAAGTAGTCCAAGATGCATGAAATGGAAGCTTGGAGTGGGGGTACCTGCTGCTGAGCGCACCAGCAGGAAAACCTCTTCCACTTAGCCTCGTAGGTAAGTCTAGTCGATGGCTTGCGGCTTTCCAGAAGCACCTGCCTTACCGAGTCCGAACAGGCGCGTTCAGCCTGGTTCAGCCACGGATCCTCCAGGCCGAGAGATGGAGCGACTGAAGGTCCAGGTGAAGGAGACGACCGTGGTTCTGGGATATGAGGTCGGGGTCGAGAGGAAGACGTAGGGGAGCCTGAATTGAAAGGTCCAGCAGAGTCGGATATCAACACTGACGCGGCCAGGCAGTGGCTACCAGTATGACATCTGCCTTGTCCTGGTGGACCTTGAGGAGCACCTTGTGAACCAGCGGGAACGTGGGGAAAGCATACAGCAACTGGCCCGAACAGGTGATCTGAAAAGCATCCGCTAACGAGCCAGGGCTGTGACTCCGGAAGGAACAGAAGGCTGGGCACTTTCTGTTGGTTCACGAAGCGAACAAATCGATCGGGGAAACCCCCAGGTGCGGAAAATGGAATGAATGATATCCGGGCGTATGTACCATTTGTGAGTCAGAAAACGCCTGCTCAAAGTATCCGCCAGAACGTTTTGGACACCCGGCAGGTACGAGGCCTGAAGGTTGATGGAGTGGGCTAAGCAGAAGTCCCACAGAGAGAAGGCTTCTTGGCAGAGCGGCGATGACCGGGCTCCATCTTCCTTGTTCAGGTAGAACATGGCCGTGGTGTTGTCCGTTAGAACTGTTATGCAGTGGTCCCGTAAGTGGGGAAGAAAGGCTTGGCAGGCAAGA